AGATCCTGAACAAACATATTGTTAAGGCATAACAAAGAGGCATTGTTTCTTTTTAATGCATTTCATTTTTCATTGTGCCTCATAAACACATTCAAGTTCATAATACAAAAGCTACTATCGTTACCATATATTTACATATTTTTTATTAGCATCATATATGGTCTTTGTACAATGACCAAAATGGATTTCTGGGGTCCCCTGGGGAGCCACATTGAGAATTGTTAATAACAAAGCAAAAATATCGCTGGCATCTGGTCATTTCTAGATGCCATATTTATCAACGTAAACCGGCTTTTAAGAATCTGCTTTAAACTGAGTACTTTTACTCAATGATTCTACTGTTTACACCGCGTAGGCTCAGGATGGAATATAGTAAACCTTATAATGAGGGACAATGATCCAAAACGTATGCAGTAAAGTTAATTAAATAATACGCATTCTACTCAATGTAAACCAACATTTAAAGGTAGACTTTTCATAGGGGCCTACCATATTTGTGGAAACTGAAAGTATCTAATGTGTAAATCGCTTCCTTCGTATGTGTGACATGATGACTTATTTTCTGAATTGAAATGTTTGCACATATTATTACAAACTACCTATATTGTGCGTTTTAACATGTAAGAGCAGCTAGTACTTGAACATAATCTGTACTTGAAGTGTTGAAGTTACAATATTATTTTAGTTTTTTTTCAATAACTTGGATTGAAGAACAGATTTTGGAAAGTGTTTTTGACAAGCACCAGACGTTAAGTTTGCAAATCGGAATTCTAAAGATATAGTTAATAGAGTTAGAAGAGAACAGCTACTGCACCCATACCTGTTTTTCTGTTCCAAGTAACCGAAGTTTTGAAAAGAATTAAATAAACACGTTTATTGCTNTTTCAATAACTTGGATTGAAGAACAGATTTTGGAAAGTGTTTTTGACAAGCACCAGACGTTAAGTTTGCAAATCGGAATTCTAAAGATATAGTTAATAGAGTTAGAAGAGAACAGCTACTGCACCCATACCACATACAGCCTGTATAAGACATTTTACCTGTGGATACTAATCCACGACTACGCTTTTGTCAGTTCATCAACACCCGGAGAATACACAAAAATGTTATTTACCGAGTGCTGTTTTACAAGTGACATAATAAACGTTCGTAATTAACATGTTTATGCTGACGAAAACCTGCATGTAACAAAGGTTAAGTACTATAAGCATATATAGGTGTGGGCAGAAATAATTGACAATTTTATCCCGCTCGTTTAAATGGTTAAAATTATCTGAAACGCATCCAAGATACTTTACCAGATTTATTGGACATCTTTCTTTAACCATTCGCCGCAACATGTGGTTTATGAACGACAGAGTACAATCAAATTTTATTTTAAAAGTCCCTAACCGTTTGAATAAGCATTTTCCAAATAGATGGATTAGGAGAGAAAATGAAGCTCCTATGGGTCGGCCACCACGCTCAATGGATCTAACACCGTTAAATTATTTTTTATGGGGACCTTTAAAATCCATAGTATACTTTACATCTGTAAACACCGAGGAAAAGTTGTAGGGACGAATACAACATGCTGCTCCTATTTTATATGCAGTTATCATGTGAAGTGTTCAGTTTAACTTTCTTCGACGAATTAACCTTTGTGTCCATGAAATTGGGGGTCATTTTGAACATTTGCTTTAAATAAATTGAATTAACTTACTCAATTTTCATTTTCTTCTCATTTTTTATATTTTTAATTGATTTTTAAATTTTTTATTATTGGTTCGTGTTCCACAATTTTAGAACTAAATTGGACCAGGCCAAGGCCTGAATAAAGTGAAAAGGAAAGCGGTTTTATCAAATGAAACCTTTAAATCTAGATATCCAAAAAACGATTGTTCAAAACGAAATTTACCAATGTTACCTTTTTTTAGACAAAACGTTGGAGAATAAGGATTTTCAACTAAAAATCAATGCACCATTCCACAAAACAGGTATGACAGTTTAAATTCATGTAAAGTACTGTAGGGTAAGTAGGCGATGCCCTCTAATAACATCGGCCAACAAAAAAAAAAGTTATGTGTTTCCCGTAAATCGCTGAATACCTTCAGAAAATCGCTAAAAATCTTCAGTAAAATGGAGAAATTTAGGATGTGACGAGATCTTGGCATGCGATACATGTTTTTCGACGTAATTTTCCATCCTGAATCCGATTCCGATGTCAGAATTACTCCATAACCGTCTAATCTTCAAAAAATCGCTGAAGATCTTCAGAAAAAAGGTGAATTTTGAGAAGTGACGAGATATTGACATGCCGCATATGGTTTCCTGTGTATTTTTCTCCTGAACACGAATCCATAGTCTGTTTTGTTCCATCACCCTTCAATTTTCCGTAAATCGCTGAATACCTTCAGAAAATCGCTAAAAATCTTCAGTAAAATGGAGAAATTTAGGAAGTGACGAGATCTTAACACGTGACACATGTTTTTCGACGTAATTTTACCTCCTGGATCCGAATCGGTTGCCAGAATTACTCCATAACCCTTTAATCTTAAAAAATCGCTGAAGATCTTCAGAAAAAGGGTGAAATTTGAGATCGAAAAACATGTGTCACATGCCGCATGTAAAGTTCACATAACTTTTTTTTGTTGGCCGGTGTAATTTACAGGAAATTCGACACCATACTTCAATTTGTCATGTTAGGAAACTCCCATATATAAAGTTGTATGTATTTACTACAACTAATAACGAAGTTGTTGAAGACAAACTAAAATAAAAGTGTAACATTCAATACCCTATATTTCGAAAACTATCAAATTTCGGAATAAGGTAACTTCGATTAGTTCATATTTTGACCACACGAATATGCGGTAGAATTTTCAAGGCCTTTTAGGGACACCCTGAGTGTTGCTCAAGAGCACTAAAAAGTGATTTGCATGATCTGGAAATCGAAATCAAAATTACAGGTTTGTGTGTCAGGTCCGCAAAAAGAATTCGGCAGAGAAGCAGATATGTCGCTTGGCGTTCCGAATTTGCATAAACGTTTTTATTCCGACACTTTCCGTACAGGCGGCGACACACACACACAAAAAAAGAGTTGACACACGCTGAACGGGCTATAGATTCCACTGCCGGAGGGCCGTGTGCCACAAACCCCGGTTTGTTTTGGTCTAATACTAAAACTGGAAATGTTACATTAGGAAGTGGGTCATCAGGAAATACCGTAACGCATGTCAGACAGTTTATTAGGTTTTGTGTGAGTAGGCCGCGCCTAGCGTTTTGAGCGGAACAATGATTTCCTACATCGCAATGCAATCTCCTTACAAGAATATCGCCCCGGTTTATTTAGGTGGTCATAAAAAGTGCAAGTTTTTGTCGAACCGATTAAAGTCGGCTGAAATGAAAATGAATCGATTAGTCATTCAGTGGGTTAATGTTATTCATCAGCATAGGGGCAGAAGCTAGCCCACAAGAAAGGACCATGCTGTAGTCAGAGACGAGAGAAATTTTTGGCTCTCAAATAGGGTGAATGCACTAGTAAGTGAACACCCAGCAATGAATGGACATATTTCATAAATATGAATCAGAATTACAGGTTCCTTTTGACTATTAATACTGCCACATTTGTTATTTATTTCCCGCCATATTTACATTTTTTAGTGCATGTTCCTAATAGTAAATGTTTTGAGAACTAAAAATAGTTTTTATCCACGAACCGCATTAGAGGAAAGTTCACGAACGAAAAAAGTATTTCCAGTTTAAATACTTAAGCTGTTTTTGAGGCTATATTGCGAAATCCTATCTTTGTATTCGAGAATGAAAGTTCTTTTTGGTGCTATAGCGAGCAAGAGAATGCAAGAGAATTTCGCAATCGAGTATCAAACAACATTTTTTCGAAAACTGTATCCTACGGTTCAAAAATTATTTAAAATGTGAAGAGAAAATTTTGACATTTACAATTAATTTACTTGACATGTATGTCACCTACAACTTACTACATATATTTTAATACCAAATATTCTTTGGCGCGTCAGTATCTGCTCCTAAATATGGTACTCAATAAATTAGTAATAATTACCCAGTGCCTCAATCAAGACAGTATTGCAGTGAGCGGCTTATAGTCCTTCCGAAGTCAGTTGAACATGTAAAAAAACGCCTGGTAATAAAATTTAATGAGTTTCGTAGGCGTCCCTAAAAAAGTTTTCTGGTGAAGGTAAAAAATTAGAATAAGTTGTATATAATGTGCAGAAAATTTCTATTATATGTTCATTTGGCCAATAACATATTTTAATTATTTATGTCCTCAAACAATTTTATTATATTGATGGTAAATTTTATTTTGTTCCGTTTCAAAAGGTCTCCAAAATGTCATGTTGTAATAATATTATTTATCCCTTTCGCAATTGTAATATCAATGATTAATAGAAGGTGCCTAAATAAATTAAAATTACCTGAATCACACCAAATTCCGCATTGCTGCACTGCACTGCTGGGCAATTTGTCGACCACTTATCAACGGTTGAGATTTATTGCCCAGTAGCCCAATGCAACTGTACTTGTATTTCGTTTGCCCGCGCTCGCATTCTTCAACTGGGCGTATACATTTCTACCACCTCCACGTTTAGTTCGACCAGTCCTGTATGTGGGTATGGCTAAATAAATATGGGAACAAGTTTTTCAAATATTTCAATGCCAAGTTGGTACAACATACTGTCATCCTCTTGGTTCTTCAATAATTGATATCGGAAAAATATTACCATCTTCAAGTGGAGTCAATTTCACAATTGTACAATTACGACTTTAAATTTAAAAGTTAAAAGAAATGACTTTTGTAGGTGAAAGATTTTTACATTTTGGAGACAAAAACCTGTTGTTTTGACACTTAAGGGCCCCATATTCTTTAAATAGTGTTTTCCGCNATATGGTGAAGGAATGCGTTTGTAAAGTAATCAATTTTGAGAGAAACTACGAAACTGAAAATAAAAATCCAAAAATTAAATTTTGAAAACGAATCTTACCTTAGTCCTGTTGAGAGGCACGGAAAAATCCCAATCCGGAGCCACAAACAGATATCCGCTCCGGGCTATAGAACGGCTAGCCTGAAACAAATGAAGCGTCAAAAATATTTATTATTTACTAAAATTTGGAGAGGGAGAGTAAGAAAATAGATAAAATTACATATCGTTTTCTTAACATGTAATAAAAGTCCATACCTAAAGAGTGATTGAAGTTTTAGTCCACAATTAGTCATGAAATCTTTTGAATTTTCTATTTTAAATAGCGATTTAAAAGCTAGTAAGTATATGCATTTTATTATATAAGATAATTAAAAAATAAATGGAAATTTGCTACACGAACTAATAATGCCTGATAGGGACCTACAACCCTAGATGGGAGTGAGAAATTGAAATAAGTTTTTCCTGGATGATTTTTAAACACTTAACGACTTGCAAAAAAAAACGAAAATTCAGAAATTTTTTTAGGTAAGTAGGTACCTATTAGACCAAAAAATATCTTTTTATTGAGTCAAATATGGATATTCAGTTTTTGATATTATACATAAAGTACCCCACGACTGTGCCCTGAAGAGGAAAATTTTTTTAATTTGTGAAATCGGAAAATGTAATTAATTCTTTGTTTTGCTTGTCACTAAACTCATAAAATGATCTTCATTTTATAAATAAGGCGTTCATTATTTTGGAAAATTTATATACGGTGTACCTCAATCTTATAAAATATTGAAAAGTGTTACTAATTGTAAGAATAGTAACTCAAAAAAAGTTGTAAATATAAAGGTATTTTTTACAAAACAATTGACAATCTGTTTCGTAAAAAATACCTTATCATACAGGATGTTCTAAAAGTCCGTCAGGAAACTCCGAGAGGTGATTCTACGGATTAAAGTATTAGCAGTATGTAATGAATTTTTTTCGAATTGTCAATTGTTTGCAATTTAGAGCTTGTCAAAGTTCAATTTTCTTATTTTTCTAATTAAATAACTTATTTTATTCACGTTCTATTAGTCTCTCATTTGGCTCACCCACTAAGTAGATGAAGCTCTATACTCTATAGTAGTCTATAGTACCAGTCAGAGCAAAGTTTCATTATGCACCGCTAGAGGGCACTTTACCTAGAACTCAAAATTTGTTTTGTTCATAACTTTTTTCTTTTGCTAGACATCACAGAAATTTAAACATTATTGAAAAGAGAAACAATATCAGAAAAAAATATATACTCTTTGTTCAAGCCGATAAATGTAACCGTTTATCAAGAAATCGCTATTAATGTGTTATTAAACATCAAATTTTTTATAGTTCTGTCTGAAATCAATCAAGTTGCCATGCAATAAATAGCATTAGTAATTTTGGTGTTATTATACGAATTGTAATAAAAATTGATTAAAGCAGGTATGTTTGATTTTTCACCATAATTTTTTTTCGGCTCTGTAATAACGTTGTAGAAAAATAAGCTGAGGATAATGGATTTACTAATAGTATTTTATTTACTAGCGAAGCTGGTTTTACAAGAGATAGTATTACAATATGGCAACTTAATTAATTGCAAAAAGAATTATCAAAAATTTGATGTTTAATAACACTTTAATAGCGATTAATAGCGATTTCCTGTTATTTTAATAGAAAAATAAAAAAATGAACTTTGACAAGCTATAATTTGCAAACAATTGACAATTCGAAAAAAAATTTTCATTATACTGTCACTATTTTAATCCGTAGAATCACCTCCCAGAGTTTCCTGACTGACTTTAAGAACGTCCTGTATATTACTTTAGGTAGCTTGGATGCACTTATGATAATGATAACTAATAAAAATTTTCAGAAATCTGAAATTTTGAAGAATTTTTCTATACCGTTATTGGATTATGGAATTAGAATTATTTTAAACTGTGGGGACACACGTTCCCTGGTACGCCTCTGCGTTCATAGAAAATATTTACAATAAGAAATTGTATTGAAGCAGATTTGCCTGTCTCAGGAGCACTTGTCGTGCCATAAATCTTAAAGAATAACGACCCTTCTGGGTAGCTGACCGTACCCTTAAGCAGGCAATCTGGGCCATTCCCTAGTTGACCGGCACAGCAAGTGTTTGTAACCCAGTACCTTTATCATTTTCAATTTTTGTGTGTCAATCAGTTAATTAATAAAGAATTAGTCTAACTGGCGTGATAATTATTTTGGTGGACAACTTATACACCACAAAACTATAAAATCCTATTTGGTATAGGTAACATAAGAAATTGTATTGTTTTCTTGATATTTTTACAGTGTGTTAGAATTATGAGAAACATCCAGAATTCTAAGGTAACTTTAAGATCTCAGAGTTCAGCGTAATTCAACAGTTAATCCATTATTCAATAATAGGAAAATGCAAGAATATTTATAACCTTCCAGAATTTAATCTAAGTTCAATAGATTTTAGTTAATCATTTATTTAGTTTCTGGGTTACTTACTGGAATCATGAATGTGTACAAACCATGTAACTGATATGAAATGAGGTAATTTTTTTTTTGCAAAACATCTGCAACTTCACTTTTACGACCTTCTTAGATTTACTAGCAATATTTCTTAGGGATATTCTTCAATAAAGTCAAGAAAGTAAATTTTTAATGGTTTGTTTCTCATTTCTCATTTCCAAATAGTAGTTTGCAAGTTTTTATGTAACACTTTTATTGGTAACCATCTTAAAATCCATCCAGTGAGAACTATTAAAGTCATTATAAACATAAACAAATCCAAAAATAAATTTAACAGACTAGGCAACAGCACATTTTTACCATATACTGAAATCTGGGTCAATATAACTTAGCAACGTGCGAGACATGTAGATCTAATAATAATTCTAAAAAGTCAGCGAAACGTAGGGAGATTTGTCGACGGATAACTTCTTTGAGATACCGGCATGGCAACATCTGCAGAAGTCATGCCTGGATATAGAATATATCAAAATATTTTCTGAATGTACGATATTATACATCGGATAAAGTTACAGCTAAACAAACTCGCCAGTAATGTTGGCTGGTACTGCAGGTGCTATATTTGGAAAATGTCATGATCTATTTGATAACGTGTCATGGCCGATGTTTTAAAAACGTTATCTTCAAGAACGTAATGCAGATAGTACCCTATACTTTTGTGGAAATAAGAAGTGTTTCTAATTATAACTATAATATTAGGGTTCAAGGTTACGTCGATGCCGAGTTCTAAAAGACTGCCACTGAAAGTGATATGTTGATAGTTCTGTCCTGTCATAACACTAATAAATTTAAGGGTATCGGCACACGCGGCTGAGTACACAGTGTGTCGAAACGGGAATAAGGGCATTAACTTTTCGGACCCCACCGTGATAACATGTAATATACTTTTTTTTATTAACTTTTGATTTTTAAAAGTTGTTTTTATTCTTATTTCCATTTTTTTAACGGGTTCCATTTTCCTTCGTTTCTTTGCTTTTCTTCATTTTTTCATATGTACATTTCAGAAAATGTCGGTTGTTTTGTTTCAGATGTGTTTTATTACACAAAGAGTAATTTGAATTTCAGATTAGTCATGTGTATTTAAGAAATTTTCAGAATTTCAGTCGTCGTTATATTTCAGATATACCTAGTCATACACATTTCAGTTAAGTAGCAAATGCATTTCAACATGCGGCAAAAGCATTTCTAAAAAATATTCTAAATGAGTTATAATTCTTTATGATATATATACAACGCATTGCTCAATTCGACCGCCCAACTTCTACAAATAGACCAGGACGGATCTGTCGAAATATCCCACTCCTTGGATGTAAGAGGGGGTAAGCTAATTTTTGCTGGAATATATTCAGTACAACTCACATAATAAAAGTGTAGATCCCTAGATCTGGGCGAGGTCCGAAACATTTTCAAAATTGCAAAAATATTTAAAAAAATTTTAAAAATACCTATTTTATCTGAGTTTTTTACTTATATCTTGGAATCTATGCATTTTGGAAGAAAATTGGGGTTTTAGGATTGAACTTTGCATAATATACTGAATGTTAAAAATGTTTAAATTTATTACCGATGTTGCAAAATAGCAATAATTGATGAAAAAAGGCAAAATAATCAAGTTTTTTAATGCTCCGAGGGCATTCTAATTTTTTTAAAAAAAAAACTTTATAGTATAATAAAACAACATACCAAATTTCATTAAAATCGGTTCTATAATTTTCGCAAAATAATTTTTTGAAAAGAAATTTCCGATTTTTCAAAATTTTGCACAACTTCAAATAAAGCATCTAGAGATACTTAAAAATATTTTCCCATAGAAAAGACCGCTCAATCTTTCAAATGGTTTTTGAAAAATTGAAATCGGCCACAGTAAATTTTTAAAGTTAACGCTTTTTTTTATTTTTAAACAATTAGATTACATTTATCAATTTGCAATTCAGTTTTTTTCAAAAATTATAATTTTAAAGTTCTCAGAATGACGCTTTTTTAAAAAAAGTTAAATTCCTTATATTGGTTTTCGAGATATAAGCGGTCAAAGTTTATTGGCATTTACCGTTAATTTAAAAACAATTTAGCAATAATCTTTGATCCAGTGGCTTTGTTTTTCCGAGTTCTAAGCTGGAAAAAATTTTCATATCCATAAGTTATCGGCAACATAGATAAATCATCGGAAAAGCTGTCGCACGCACTCGCGGAAAGTCACTCAAATCACGAAAAGTGGGGGAGGGGACTTTCGCTCCGAGACTGAATTCGGAGGTTCAAAAAATGAAGGTATAAAAAATTTGCATTATCTCGGCTTCTAATGGGCCAATTTCGATCTTTTTTTTAATCCGATGTCCCGCGAGCCAAGGAATTCGAATATCGTAATGCCAACTGTCTAATTTGCACATATTTTGTTATAAACAAAGTTTATTATTTATGCATTTAAAAANACGAATAAACAGGTGCAAAAAACGATCAAACCATCAAGGTTTTAGGTACTGAAATCTACGAAAATACTAACTTTTTTATATATAACTCCACATGTAAATATTCTTATAACATTTACTTGCTTAGTCCTACATATAAAATTATTTACTTTTATTTATAGTACGTGAAAAT